TTTATACAGACTTTGTTGAAAAAGTAGGGATTTTTAAGGAATATACAAAAATAAAACTGTCACTTTAGTTAAAGGTCTTGAATAAAGTCCTAAGCATAATTAATTCTTAGTGAGAATTAATCTTTTTTCATATTTGCCTTAGTGTTTGTGCTGTGTAATACTCCAGTAATGCATATTTTAACTTCGTAACTTTTATATTTAATACTCCTACATTTACTTGTCCAGATAAATCTATATAATTTTCCCTTTATTTGTAGAAAAGGATGCCGTATTTTTTGGATATGACATGTTGTTAAGTTTCTCCATTTAGTTACACATATTTATAAGTTCATGTAATGGAGATTGCTAAAGCTTATTTAATCTTAACAAACCATTCTCAGAGAAAAAAGGTGGATGAACTGACACAATTTTTATAATGGATAATTTTCAGTACATACAATCTTAGCCTGACAAGTGAGTTTTAATTTCTCAGTTGCTGTTGTGCTACAATCATCCATTCACAGTATCTGCATGTATTATATGGAAAAGCCTATTAGTTTTTATGTAATGAACTGAGGGAATATGACTGGTCAGGATACATTAATTAGATTATGATTTTTTTTAAAACCAGCTAATAATATTTACCCCTTCTTTAACAAAGAATTCTGAATACTCAGACTTCTGCAGCTATAGGACATAAAAATTTACTTATTACGCTGTATATTAAATTTATAATGAGCACAGCTAATAGAAAATAGAAGTTATGTCTATGATGCATTACTTTTTGAGGCACTGGTACTTATCCAGTAGTTATGGTTGTGGAAAATATATATATATGTATAACTTTTTTGCTTTTCTGAATTAAGATCAGCATGTAAGAAAGAAAATTATATTGTATGTTCCAATGCACCACCCAGTTTTTCCTATTATGATATCACAGCCATCTTGATGAAGTATGAAACTTTGAAGTTGTGTGTGTGTTACTGTACATAACATCTTTCTGCAGAATTAAGTGGTAAAAGTAAACTGACTGAAAGAATCCATGATATATTTTGATAACTATGGAATCTTCGTACACTCCGTTAGCACCTGTAGTAAAGCAATTAAAATACCAAGCCTTAATCAGCCACTTTTATATGTGGCTGCAGCAGTAATTAGCAAGTTTGTAGGCAGATGCTTACAAATTTTAATTCATACTCGTACCACCCCCATTTTCAGCCTTGTGTCCATTGGGGCAGCTCATTTTTTTATGTACTGTATTCATTTAATTAATTTATTAAAAAAATATTGTTAAAATTTTGTTGAAGCAGAAAATTTATAACTAAATATTACTCAGTATGAGTAAAAAAGATTAATCCTGATATATTAAGTTAACTTATACAATTTGATGTACATGTATATGAAAGTTTCTCAGGCATTTTGATCGTTAAAGAAATCCTATCTCCCTTCAATTTTATTCTGTATTTTGTGTAGAGTAAAGTTGATTACTAAGTAACAGTCCCAGAGATTGCACTGTCAGGTGCTGACCTCTTGTGGGGGTACGTGAAAGCTCCTTTACTTTTGTTGTTAGTGACAATTGTTTGCTCTTCCTAGTTGCACCATAGAATACTTTATATTCCAGCAATTTCATTCCATCTGAATATTCATGAAAGCTTTCCATGGTTACCATTTTCACTTTACAATTGCAGAGGGGGTTGATATCCTGCCAATATAGTTGTGCCAAATTTGATTTAGGGACTTCTCTTGTGAACTTCTCAGATTCCTCATTTAGCTTTACTCCTGCATGTCCTGCAAGTCAGTCCCAAATATTATGTTGATGGTATTGTCTATTGCAGTTCATTGCATGTAGCAGTCCAGAGAAGAGCTTGCTCTATGGCTTCCATCTGCATCCGTATACTTCTTTTATGTAGCTTCATTGCTCCACCAGCCATGTAAAGAATGTTGTTGGTCCATAAGCTGTTGAATGCTAAACCAGGTCTTTCACTATCTGTGGCTATGATACAGATGATTGCTCACTGTGGTCTTTAGATAGATGTTGACAAGCTTTTACTTCTTCACCCTCAGCCCCACTCTTTACATTATCTTTTGGGGATGTCTGAGATATGATGATGACCAGTTATTTTAGTGGTGTCACTTGTTCATTTATAACTGTCTCTTGAGGTGTCTTTAAAGCAATTCTCTACTAGGATTGTGTCTGAGGGGTCATTGTGGAGATAAAATGTTCAAATTGTAAAATACAGTGGCTTGATGGAACATGGTCTTTACACTGCAAGGCCCAAGTAAAGATGTTTGTTTGGAAGCTGTTGATGGAACATGGTCTTTACACTGCAAGGCCCTAGTAAAGATGTTTGTTTGGAAGCTGTTGATGGTACATGGTCTTTACACTGCAAGGCCCAAGTAAAGATGTTTGTTTGGAAGCTGTTGATGGTACATGGTCTTTACACTGCAAGGCCCAAGTAAAGATGTTTGTTTGGAAGCTGTGATCTGCCTTCCTTGTTTAGCATGGACAGTGCTAAGAACAGAAGGTGGTTAAAAAATAACATCCTAGCTAAGTCTTATTCACAATAGTTTTGTGCATTATGAGACTTATAATACAACTTTTTGCATGCTCAGAATGCATGCTCATTCCATTTTTGACAGCCCTGGCTGATTTCATCATGTTGTAATTACTCTTATACTTCTCATATTGTGGCAGAATTTGTACACTATATAAATTCCTTGATTTGTGATTAGGATATCCTAGAATTTATAACAAAAACAAAATTATGATTTCAACAAGTAAAAAACTCTTGTAAACAAACATTTTAATAAGGTTCTAAGTATTGTTTTTGGTATTCCAAAGTAGAGTTGTATTCTTAAGAGAACCAAAAGTGGGTTCAAATGTATGCTATTCATGTCTTTATCGGAATAAATCAGTTGAAATTGTGTTTTTATATTATTACTTGACAGTTAAGATTAGAGAAAGAAAATCCAAAACGTTGAAACGAAACCATGTTGCAGGTACAGCTTCTTACAAATCAGACACAGTTCAATAAAAAATAATTGTTTTACTTTTCAGCATTGTTCTCTGTTTGTGAAAATACAAATTAAAGGATACATTTAAGTTGAACTGCGATGAGATAACTATATATATATATTTTGCCATAGGTGACTTAAATCGTCATCTTCGGTCAATTCATCTTCAAACTAAGCCTCTTACCTGCGGCCATTGTAATCGGAAGTTTGTTAAAGAAGCCACACTGATTCGTCACATGCAGATTACTCACAGATGCCTTATCCTGGAGTCAATAAAGGATAGGTGAGTTTTACATTAATGTACAGGGTGTTCCAAGCATGAGTCACTAATGGAATGATGGGTAATAAATTATGTTTTTTTTCCTGTTCTGAACATGTATGGCAGTTACCATGATTAGCAGAATGATGAGTTAGAACATTTATAGTTTGTATTTTGTGCTTTGTTACCAAGTTATTACATTTGAGGGTTAACTTTGCCCCTTTGAAATATTCAGTTACATCTCAAAAGTGCTAAAATGATGCTGTTGTAACTTTATGCGTATCTAACATACTAAGTCCTAAAGGGGACAGTTCTCATTTGGAGAATTAAAGGACTTATACTGCCTGTACTTCAATGCAAATGTTTTAATATTCAGCAGTTTGCAGTTACAGTTTCTGTTCTGGTAAAACATTAATGAGCATCATTAAATATATTTGCTCATTTTTCCTTTAAATTGGTACGTGTTGCTATTATGAAAGAATGATAATCTGTAACGTAATATGAAACAGTATCTTATAGAACTATTCTATAATCAGATGAATGCTGTAGATTGGAGCTATTTCAGTAAACTTAGCCCCCCTAAAGTATTGTTCTAGTTACCCTATGGAGGTTTGTGTCTGTAGATTGGAGCTATTTCAGTAAACTTAGCACCCCTAAAGTATTGTTCTAGTTACCCTATGGAGGTTTGTGTCTGTAGATTGGAGCTATTTCACTAAACTTAGCACCCCTAAAGTATTGTTCTAGTTACCCTATGGAGGTTTTTGTGATTACAAAAGTTTCACTAGTTCATTAAATTTGTCTTCATTCTAAAATATATTGCATTCATGTACACGTTATACTTAGTCTAAGAACATTGATAATCTGTTGTTAGGTCTTAACGAGATCTGGTATTCAGATCTTCCACTTCTCCTATGTTTCTCTATATAATCTCATTATTCAAGATTTCTCTTACATTTTTATCACAAGGTGAATCCTTTTATAATGTACCATTAACGGACATTGATAAAAAAAAATGGACCTAATTAACTTAACTGTTTTCCAGATACAGTGTTCCATGTGTAATAATTATACACATTGAACTTAGACAGAGAGAAAAGGGTTAGATGACCCTCGATTTATCAGTTTAATATCTCATTAGTACTTTGAATTGTTTGCTGGCTAAAATGTAAAACTTAATCTAAACTATTTTTAATATAAGTCAAAGCCGCATCTTACTCTTATTTTGGAAAGTACTACCACTGTACAAATGCACTTAAGAAGCAACATGATAAGCATTTACAGTATTGGTCATATACTTAAGGATAGGTGATTACATGGTTATTACAATGCAGTGTTCCTTTGTCATGCAGAAACAGAGAAGTTTGTCTGTATTATCATTTCATCATTTACGTTGTTAACACGGTAACATATTGCACAGAAAACTAAACAAAATTCAAGGATCACCATCATTAATGTCTCTTGAAAATATATTTTTCATTTAGTTGAGAGTAGATTTCAAGCTGGACTTTCAGCTTTAGATTGGCACTTTAAAAGTTTTGTCATAGATATGTTTCAGTAATTTAATTTATCTTCTGCTTATTCAGAAAATTATAGAAATGCACAAGCCAATTTAGACCTGTCATTTGTTCCTTTGACATGTTTATTGTAAGTTTCTATCTTTAATTCCAGTCAGTGTGCATTTACTTTAACAATACAGTGAGTAATGGAGTGCTTCTTGACTGTTTACCAAAAGTGAAGAATTTAGATCTTGGAAATGTCCAGTATGGAAAAATTTTAAGTTGTCTAAAAATACAACTTTTAAAGCAAAATTCAACTTCATTGCATTTGTCTGGCCAAATTAAAAAAATTAAAATATTGTTTCTAAAAGAAACAAAGATATTGCATTAATAGATTATAGTCTTGTTAGGATACTTGTGTTGAAGTTTTTAAACTAGATTAGTTTAGTGCTGCTGCTCTGGAAGATATATATGTGACTCTTAAGAAATTTACATTTGAAAACATATGCTTTTGAAACAGTTAGTTATGAAGTTTGGTAATTTAAATAGAAAAATATTTTCATTAGGAAATAAGGAATAGGCTTATGAATCTTGAAGAAAGAAATGCTAATTTTTTGGATTATTTGTCAAAGCTTGCTTAGATTTGTTTCACAGTTTAGCAGATATTGGGAGAGGAATTAATGTAAATAAAAATATGGTTACAAAATAGGAAGTACCACAGGCTGAAAACACAATTGTAATTCTGTGAATCATCTGATAGAATATATAATCAAACTTCTCTCATCTCAGAGTGTACTTCCCTTGGAAAATTTAATACTGTCGATGAAAGAGTCAGTGGGTGATGACATTTTGGTTAAATTACATAACCCAGAAGATGGCTTATGTAAATTAACCAAAATGTTGTCAACTATTGCATCTTTCTCATCCAAGGATTCATGCTTTTTGAGTTGAGTGTTAGGAATCCCAGGGTTGATGCTGATATACACCGATTACTCATGTTGAAGCCGGCTACCTTGTTACTAGTGAAATTCTGATAGTCTTATGTGCAGTTACTTTTCTTTCTGCCATCCATTTGGAAATCAACCAGTGATTTTATACATAGTACTTCATGTGAAACAGTTGTATATATTATGTTGGTGGCACCATATGTTTGCAGCTCATTGCTTTCAGCTGTCCAGAGAAGAGCCTGCTTTATGGGTTCCAGCTCCATCCCAATTAGACAGTTGAATGCTCCACCAGCCTTATGCAGAACATTTTTGTTTGAGTCTGTGAAGCCTAACCAGCTCTCTCACTATCTCTAAGATTGTTGGAGTCCATAATAAACCTTCTCTCATCATGAAAACACAACCTAAATCATCTCTGAAACTTTTAAAGTAATGGAGAAGCATAATCTGAAAAGTGCTTTAAAAAATAGTTTTGATAGCATGTTGTATTGCAAGCAGATATCTAGTGTGGATTTGTTCCTTAGTGTAAATGCCGTCTTTGATTTCCCCCATTTTCAGAATAGAATACAAATAAGGCAAAGGTTTTGTGAATACAAAACCACTGAGATAAATCATATTTGGTGATACCTTTTACTTCCCAGCATTTAGTTATGAGATTTATGACACAAAAAGCTAGATTAATGGTTTTTGAAATTTAACGACTTTTTTTTAACCCTAAAAATTACAGATTAAAGACCTTGTCATGATATAAAAGGTATATTGTCATTCAGATAGTTTTCATTAATTTAGTTTTGTGAATGAATGTTATATTATTGTTTAGTTTTTGTTATAGTAAGAGTTTAAAGCAGATGACTGTAGGAAGTTTTGTTAATAATTCATTGATGTTGAGAATATTGAACATCATGTGCAATATATTGACGTCGAGAATATTGAAGGTGGACAGACGATTAGGTAATATAGATATAAGTAGTGTGAGACAAGTGGGAAGCAGCAGACAGATAAGAGCAAAAGAGAATAAAGTTGGTGTGAAGTTAACTACAGTAGAAGTGATAGGCGTAATGTTTAATATGTTACATTGAAACTAACAGTAGAAAAGAAGATAAGAAAAATAATTATATTTCGTCAAAGCGTGGTTCTAAAGTAATTGAATCAGCCTGAGTGCACTTTGACAAATGGAACAGAGGATCTTCAAAAGAAAGAAGACCAAACAATTATGGTAATTCATGACACAATTGTAAGTGAATCATAGAGAATATTAGTGTGATTGAAATAGAGAAGATAATTAGGCTTGTCAACTGAAATTCTAAAGTAATTGAATAGGCGTAAGTGGGTATTTGACATGAAGGAAAGAACTACATATATAGTATTGTTACGACAGCGGAAGTCACGTGATGAGATTCTAGAAAGATTGAGGAACCTCACGAATGTCCCAGCGTTTGCTAGACGCCCTCTTTTTTAGTATATAAGCCGGCAGATAAATTGATAATGGAGATAATTGAGTCAAGTGACCATAAGAAAAGTGAGTGAATCATTGTGAATTATTGCGTGTGTTTAAGTTAAAGTGACTGTGGAAATTCTATGTGCTGCAAAGTTGTATTGAGAAAGAATAAACTAGTTTTATTTAAGAAAGGACTTGTATCACTGAAGTTCCTCGGGAAGAATTTTTAGAGGAAATTAACAAACGAGCAGATACGTAACAGTATTTATGATATGCCCATACTATCTATAGTGTTGAAGAATTTATTGTACATACATTAACTTGTTCTGAATATATATATTATTTGAAACAAGAAAAGTGTGTGCTGTTTATTCATCATTGAATTTATTGCTAACAAGTCACAGACACCTACTGTAGAAGAATCCTAAGCCCAACAACAACATAGTATATATTTATACTATTAAGAAATATAACTAAAAGCCTTTTATTTTGACAATTGGCAAAGATCAGATTTTAGAATTCTGACAGACTTAATTGGTTATTTATTTACTTGTGGATTTCTTTTCCTCACCAAAACATGAATTTCAGTGAAGATGAGATTAGGCCTAATTTGTCATTTTGATGACAAAACCTTGTCGAAACGTTGTACATTTGCTGTTATGTTAAACTTATATTAAAGTTTTTCTTCATTACCCATTCAAGCCGTCTCCAGCCATTATTAAGAGAAAGCTGTTAGTTGCAGTCAAATCCAGTTGTATTCATTCTGTTGCTCGAATGAGCCTTTTGTTGATGATGGACAGGAAATAGGCATCAATCAAATTCAGGTATCAACAAAGTAATCATGTGTGTTTTAAACAAAACCCCTTTTCTTTCTTAAATTTGTTTTATTCATTTATGTTTTGTCTATTTAACATATGAGTATCTATAAACAGAATTTTTATATAGCTTAAACTACATGTTTTACCATTTGAGTTACAAAATCTCCAGGCTTCCACAAATAATTCCTAATTTATGTGATTTTTTTCTTTTAAAAAAAACATTTCTGAGCAAAATAGAAAGGAATGGTTCCCGCATTTTGGGCAAAATGAAATTCCTTGACTTTTCACAGACCTTTTACTGACCAAAGTATGTTACTCCCTGACCACTTGATCTTGTACTTGTAATGTATCATTTAACTTTTTATTACTTATTGTTTTATAAAAACTATATTAACGTTAAAAGTCACAGTTTGCTTAAATGTGATCTTGTAAAGTTTGAATGTAATTGTTCAAACTGCTTTTGAATTATTGATAATTTATCAGAACATGCATAACAAAGGCAGTTTATCCATTTGTTTATGATAAAAAAATCACAAATCTTCGAGATTGTAGTAAAACAATCCTCCATGGCATAGTTTTAAGAAAGATGAGACAAAACCTTGTCCAGAGCCTTTACATTCTACTTAGGTGGAAGCCAAGCTACTGTTTACATAATATATTATGGTTGCCTTTTATATTCCATGACAAATAATGGTAAACAGAAAGATTGAGACAGATAAAACAATGTTTATGCATAAAATACAAATATCGACAACCTAAGTCCACCAAAATTATCCTGTATGTCAATTTCTGGCATTAATGATAATTTATTTTTTGTTTTCTATGTCCTAAAAGTATCAATGAATCACATGAAATTCACCGACTTTTCCCACTTTTCCTGACCCATGGTAATCACTGTTTTTTTATTAATATCTGACATATTTTAGCTCTCTTCCTTCATTTTCAGTGCTCCTTTCTTTCAGGTGTACTTCCCTTTAAACCTGTACTGAACAGTAATTAAACTATTGCTCATGCAATGTAGTGTAGTACATTAATAATGACAGGAATTGGTGTATTTCTGATACGAGGCTATAACGTATCATATACACTGTCAACATCCTTGCACAACACGAAGTATTGTAGCCATACCACCCACAAGCAGAATAGATATTATCTACTTGAGAATAAAAGAGGCTGCTGGAACAGAGTAAACTTTATAACGTTTTTTATGTGAAACCTGCACGTGTACAGAATAAGTACTATATTATTAGAAGAATATAGATATATATATGATGTATTCATACACCGCATATGTAAACCCTTGTCATTTGTGCTTGTTGTCAGTAAAACTATATCCTTTAAACTCGGCCATGTTACTTACTTGGTTCTAAACTAATGGACAAGGTCATAAATAGAGGCAGTCCAAGTTTACAGACAACAAAATTCTTCGGAAAATCTATGCTTGAAGGAGAATGGCTGGTCGTGTGGGTAGTGCTTTGGGTAAATATGACATTTTTTGTGAAATAAAGAATATTGGATTTAGACAGTCTGGTACATGGATTCAGCTTGATCAGTTGAAGACAGAAGATCAAGTAAAAACGATTGGCCTGTGTCAATAAATCAAATACTCCAGTGTGCTTGTGATATATAATTAAGGTTGTTCAGCTTATGGTTCACTTTGTACCCAGTCTTTCTATTTCATTCATTCAGTTATTCAGAGATAAAGCATTACTTTGACTAAATCTTCTGTTATTAAGAAGGCCAATCCATTGTTTATAAGATAAGTTAGTTAAGATAAGATATATGACACGTTTTGTGCAATTCCCCAAACCTCCATCATACCTAAAGTGGAATACAGAAAAAATATGAAAAACAAAGGAATGGCGGTGTAACTTAGGAGTCGGACACGTATTTCTAAGTTTATTTTGTTGATTTCTTCCTCAATATTATGTAAACAATACCACTATTTCTCGTATGTGGAGAAATAGATGATCTGTGTTTGTGCTTCACAAGCCTGAGCACAATCTGACCAGTTAGGTGTTACCCGTGAAGCATGTGACGGTAAATACTCTCATATTTATGTTCCTTAACCAACACATATAATTCACATACAGTAAAGATATATCAGAGGTACAGTTTCCTTTAAACTGTAACACCACTATCCAGGTTTGTATTTCCCAGTTCAGCTTTTCATCCCACCACTCAAACAGACCACCTATAGAAGTATTTTTTTCACATATCATCAAATATAGCAAAGTTAGTTTGATAAAAGCAATGATTTTAAAGTAATTGTTACTAATGTTGTTTTAATTGGTGTGATAACATTTTTTTTTTCTTCTGTAACTCAATATATTGAATAGAATAATTATTAGATTTTAAAATTTGTTTCTAATTGCAGGACTGCAGAAGAGGATAATGCTGCAATTAACCAATCTTGTTCTGGACTGAAAGTAAACATACCTAACATTGAACAGCCACTGCAACAGGGACCTCAGTGCATAGAAAAAATCACTGTTTCATTATGTAGTTGACAATAGAATGTATTGATAAATTGTAACTGGTGAAATGTATTGCTAGAACACTGTACAAGAGTGTACTTATTTTATATTTTGTAAGTAAGGAATTATTACAACATTCAACAAAAAAATGTTTGAAATTCTAATATAAAACTTGGTTAATTAATCGGATATTTAACTGCTAACATTTTTAAGTGTTCAAATTTGTGTTTCAGCCTAGTCATGAATTAGAATATACATTGTAGTGTGAGCTTAAACAGTCTTGTCAGCAGTATGGGCTCAATGAAGGTAATAACATTATTGAAATTAGGGTTACCACAGTTGTTTTTTCACATTTCCTTTAGTTTTTCTACGATAAACATAAATGTTAGACCTCTCGGCTTCTGACACTTAACCGGTTTTTGGAATTTAAACCATAACTTTTAATAATAAGATTTTTTTTTACTATAGAATGCCTATCAGCAGAGGGATATTGTAGAATTTGTTGATCCAGGCTTGTGGCCTAGTTACACCAGTTTTTACCCAACTGAATTGTCTTTAAACTTTTATGGAATTGTTAAAATAAAATACTGTTACGTGAAATTAAAATTAGTTTTGCAATTCAAAAATATTAGGATATGAAAACATGACACAGATTATTTATACATGAAAATAGGATAGATATATACCATTCAATACATGAAATAATTAATTATGACAAAGCTACAGTTAATATTGGAGAAGAATAATGCTGTTGCTAGTAGCAGTCTCAAATGTATTAGTGTGTGTGTATGGAGAGAAACCATTTGTTAGTGCCCTCAAAAGTTGAGGCAGAGGCCTAGATTGCCTGTCAGTCCCAGTGGTATTATATCCAGCAACTTTGAACTCTGACAGGTAGGGTACAGATCATGCCACATTACTCAGGAAATACCCCTGCAGGTGCTACCACCACATTTTCACTTCTTGTATTATTATTCCCTTATGTCCTGGTGTGATGTGTTTTATTGGCAGTGATGCCCTGACCTTAATCAAAAATGCAAAAGCCATATAATTTTTTTTTGCTCAAAGGGAATGAGGTTGTTATGGGCAAATGGGCCAGGTAGATAAGGTTCTTTTCTTAAAGGAATCATGGGCTGATGAAAGAAGTGGAGCAAGTATGGACAAGAAATGGCATGCAGAGCAGGAACAACAAACCTTAGATAAAATAGTCAGTTGGTGAGAATCATCCCATAGCAGTGATGATGCGGTTAGTGGATACAATACCAGTAACAGTGATAAGGATAGAGGAGAATCATCATCTTCTAAACCTTAAAATGGGGCAAGAAGAAATATTATTCCCAATTTTGTGGCAGCTAGAATAAAGGTCAAACAAGAATCTTCTGTATTTGGCATGCTGGCATCAAATCCTAAAACCTGTCCTGGCATGTGTTTTCAAAGACTGTATGAAACTTTCCTCTGAACCAGATATTGTACTTTTTTTCACCAGTCCAGTTATGAACTGCAGCTGATCATGATGAAGTAGCAGAAGCCATAGAGGAAGTTAAGGTCAGTGTCATTGAGTTTGGTACAAGCCAATCTGGAGACAAGTATCAAGAGCTTCTTGAACTAACCATAACTTTTCTTGAAGTGCAATTTATAGCAGCTGGAGTCATGTATGATGGATGGCCAAGGCATTAAATGTCCTCACGATATTGATGGGTATGGGACAGTTTAAGCTCATTGGCTATGAAGACAGAGAACTCTGTGACATCTGCATCTTTATTGTTTCAGAGTATTTTAGGGCTTGATTCACTGCTCCTTGCAATGATCTTAACTTCCTACAATGTCTTTTTGAGTATAAGAAGGTGAATTCTGCTTATTTAAAATCTGCCTGTCAGAAATTTGCTGGACATGTATGGTATCTCAATAAAGAACTCATTGACTCTGCAATGATAAATGCACTAAATGAGAAGAAAGGCATGGATAAACTCCAGAGTGCATTTAACTGAATATTGGGAAGCCTGAGGACATGTTAGTTGAAAACTTTGTCACAAAGAATACAACAGACTTTTTCAGGTGCCTCAAAGTTCCATCTGATTTGTGGATTATGACCCCAATTCACGAGAGCTCAGAGAGGACTACAGGGAGGCCCGACAGACAGTTCAACTCTTGAATGTGGTAAATGACAATGCTGAAGGGGATGCGACCTTTATTGAGGAGTATAATGCCATCATAACAAAGAAAGAAGAACAGATACAATTCCTCCTTCAAGTTTTGCAGGATCATAGAAGGTGTTTTCCTAATATCAAAAAGAAAACAATAACAATGAAAAAGTGACTAACCACACCAAAATAATATAAAAACCATAAATTTCTGTAATTATATTATATATGTACATGCAAAAAAATAATAATATACTTTAAATAAATCATTTGTAATACATAACTAATATGTTTTTTACATTACATAGTACATACAGTACCAGGTCACTATAGACTAGAATCTCATCCTCATTGAGCAGCCTCTAAATTTATAATCTGAAATTTTACTTGCTAATAAGGATTACCCTGATTTAGGTTATTTGATATACACATCTTTCTGTCTTGTAGCATAGTTTGACATCACATGAAAATTTACCACAAAATTTCCAAAATCAAGTTTTATTCAAGAGTTTTTTGTGCAATGTTAACTTTCTATTTATCAAACGATGCACCTGACATATCAGGCTGTTTGACTTGAGGTTTTAAAAGAGAAACCTAACTTGATTACAGTTCAAGTTTTTGATGGTTGTGCAATTCCCTAACCAAATTTTATTTTAAATTGCAGTTGCAAAAAATGCCGTATGTATTTGGCATCTTGGTTGATTGTTTATTGTAGATGTTTATTTAATTACTGCTCTGCGAGTCTGGAATATAAAATTGTGTGTAATAAGAAATAATTAGTCTGTTTACAATGATTTTTTTTAAGAGCAATTATAACTTTATGTTTTATATAAACAAATTAATTCTCTGACTATATTAACCTTTAAAGTTCCTTTAACCTAGTCAAAAATCACAAGCAAATAAGTCCTAAACGTTTGGTTTAAAGACTATTTAAAAGTATTATTCACTTGCTTTAAGTTTTTCATCATATAGTGTATAAAGTTATATAAATTGTTGGTATTTTGTCATGATGTGCAAGAAGAAACAACTTTTTTTTGTAATTATGTGAGCAATGTGTACCAGGTCAAATTAAAATAAGTGTCCATAAATGTTGTATTTGTCTTGTAATAGAGATCCAAGGTGTTCAATGACTTCTGACAGCATGAGTAAAATGAATAGCTGTTAATGTTTTAGTCTTTTAGGCTCAAAAGAACTATGGCTGTCTTTGCCAATTTTTTTTTTTATAATTAATAAAATTTATTAACAGAAATAAAAAGTGTATATAATAAAACTGAAATATATATAACACATTATTTTGTTTCTTCTTTTTAAAAAGGCCTATTGTCCTTAAATAGCTAAAACCATGTTAAAAAACTCAGTTTTTAAAAAACAACGATTATTTTACACACAATTCTATAAAAATGAGATTGTTTCCAGTCTCCAAAATACTAAATACAATAATTTACTGTACAGGATAAAAAGTGGTAAACAATAAAGAATTTCACGTCATCTACTGACATTTCCATCATCCTTATTGAATAATTTAAATTTATTTTTTTACATTTAATTATCACCATAGATTCACATATATACACACCAATTAAATTTCCAGGTTGTGCTAAAATAAAAAAAAATTTCCAATGAATTGCATGATTATTTTCATGTTCTGCTAAAGGTGAAATAGTAATATTACAGTTTTTAACTTGAATATACGCATATCTATTGAGATAATGAAATATTAAAAAGTTAATTTCAAATTATTGAATAAGGATGCCCCCCTAGTAGGCCAGCGGTATGTCTGTGGACTTACAACCCTAGAATTAGGTTTTTGGTACCCATGGTGGGAAGAGTACAGTTAGCCCTTTGTGTAGCTTTGTACTTAACTAAAAACAAATAAGGATGATGGGCTTGGTGAGAATGTTGTCAGTAGATGGCGTGAACTTGTTTAATATGTAAATTGGTGACTTCATAATTGTATAAATAAGTGTTGTTTTTGCAAAACATTACACTCCTGAGGATGACGCAGTAGTATACGACGAAACATTTAAAGTGTATGAGATTGTTTCCAAATTACTAAAATATAATAACTTACTGTACAGGATAAAAAGTGCAAAAAATCTCAATCTCAACAGTTTCATTTTTATAGAATTGTGTACAAGATAATCGTTGTTTTTTTTAAAAAATGTGAGTTTTTTAATATTAAACTGTGCCAAAAAGTTATAAAAAAGCTAAAATCGTGTTCAGTGTGGAAAGTGTTATTTCCAATGACATAGTCCAATATTAAGCAATTATATGGACTTTTAAAAGCAAATTTCCCACAGATTCACCCTTGCTTAGAGTATTTCTGTCACTCCAGAGTGAATATTGTTCATTTAACTCTCCCAGATAAAAGCAGATAGCTGCTAATCAGTGAGATTGTCAGGTTTCTCTTGGTTAACTTTTTCTCTCAGTAACAGGTAGTGAGAGCATAGTGTAAAGGAGTTACACGGATGGCAATGGTTTTCAGCGTAGTAAGTGGTACAGCCGTGAAAGGAATGTGCTTCTCAACCAGCATTGCTTCTCCTGTTTGTTCTATAACCAAACCTATCTAGACAAAACATTTTTTTTTGTTTCAAAAATAACAGAAAGGTTAAGTTTAACAAGTGATAAAGATATAGAAAAGTGTATATTAAATAATAGCATAAGTTTTTCTTAAAGAAGGCTAAAATTTAAATTGAACTAAAAAGACCTATGGCCAGTAATAAAACTAAAAGTATCATTAACCTAATTAGTATTATTGTTTCCAATAAGATTGCTTAATGTTAGACATATGCATTAAAATATCTCTAAATTAATGTTTCTTCAGAATGTCTTAGCAATGGCACAAAAATATTGACTGGTTGAATTAAATATTAGAAAGAACTAGGTTCTTAAAATTCATACAAGTTTTTATCGGTTGTACATAGTAGTAAAACTTTTGTTTATTTTATTCACCAGGTGGATACAAAAACTGAGGCTAACATAATTTAATAAATAATCATCTGAGGATCTATAACAATAGTAATCTACAAGCGTATGACTAAGGAAGTGTAACATTAAAGTAATTTATCAATGAACATTCAAATTTAGGTATAATAAATAAAACTTTAAGGCCCGAGTCTAAGTATTGAAATTCGTTCTATATACAAAAGAATGGAATGATTAAAAATAAAATAGACATAAAGGAACACCTTTGTATTTGTTAAGAATAGGGTTATGTTTTTTTATTAATAGAGATTCTTTTATTTTTCTTCTGTTAATGTTGTCTTCTCTGCTGAGGATTTTTATTTGAGAAGAATCAAAAGAACGATTTTACCTAGACGTATGAGATGGAGATTTTAAATAGTTCCCACAAATGAATAGGAAGTTGTCTGTTTGTCTCACCAATATAACGGCTTTTTGTGAAGTACCGTCAACTGGAGCTTCTTTGAACAGTTTTTTTTCTTTTCTAGCCCAGCCCTGGGGTCAGTAATATCATCGGGCCCTCCTTTCATTCTATATATTAAATTTTTCTGATTTTTCATAAAAGAAATTTAGGTGACAAAATTCTTCACGAATCCATGAAAAACCAGTAATCAATTTAGCTCATTTAGTAGTATGCTTTTGTTAGTGGAATATCCTACTGCCGGGCCTCGGAGGAACCCCCCCCCCTTCTCATCAGCTCTGTGTGTAGCATTTGCAGCTTGAAGATGCTTGGAACAGTAACTTCATTTTAACGTGGACATTATTTAGATCTTTCAATATAATCATGAAATGAAAATTGTAACTATTTACTAGTAGTTATTTTTTTATTTTCTGAGGGTTCAAAGTTGCCCCCAGCTTGGGGGTTACTTTGAACAACTATGATATTACAACTTGTGTTCAAAGAAATACTGCAACAGGGGTTACATTGAACATTAAATAACTTTTTTTAAAAAACGAAACACACTAGAAAGTAGAGATGGGCGAGTGACACCATGTTGGGATGATGTGTACCATCTGGGAGTTTGTTCAGAACTTTACCAGGATCAAGCCTGCAACCAGGTTTTCACTGCTAATTCTTTTGATAGAATCTGTGACTTGCTCAGAGTGCTTACCTTCTAACTGTCAAGCACTTTCCTCCATGACTTCTTTAGTGGACCATAGAAAGAAACATCTATTGGTTGCATTAAGTGTGTTGAGTTGCTAGGAAAGCATACAAAACGAATGTTGTGTTCTGCTGGTAACTGTAACACCCTTTCACTAAAATGGCTACTAAGATTGCATCCAAGTAATACCTTTTGACCTTATTGGTGTTTAACATGAGGGACAAAGACAGTTTCAAACCAAGGGGCACCTTCCATCCAAGTACTCTGCTCTGTTTTATAGACCACATAACGTGGTAGCATATCTCTGGTAGAAGAACCACAAAACATAATGAATATTGCTGCTTTTATGCTGTCTCTTATTCTATCTTGGTACTTCACTCCTCTCTTGAACACAAATATCTTTGTCCCAGGGCTGTCCGAAAGGTTGGTCTGATCATAGTTGTATATATTCTCTGGCAAAACCTTTGTTCCATCCTCGTTTTGAATCATCTGCTTCATGTTTTTGAAGAACTGTCTTACATCAGCTGCCAATACTCTTGCTCTTAATGTTTTGACACAACTGATTATCAGTTGCTCATGATGTATTTTCACAAAGCTCCTAGGTCAGTTCAAAGTAGCCCCTAGAACACTGTATTATCCACAATGGATATTCTTTTTTTGGAACGGAAAATCTTTGAACATAGGTTTTAAGCTATATATTAATTGTGATTGATGCACATGTACCATAACAACATGTTGAATATAATTAAACCATTAAGGCTGTCATACTTACCAAGAAACTGCTGATAGTTTGAAAAATTGGCCTCTGCTCCACTTTTAAAGCTTCCAGATCCCTCACTGCCGTATATATTGGATTGTGATGCTAGTAATGTCGGAATTGGAGGATTGTTGTCTCAGAAAACTAACGTGGTGGCCTACTTCAGTATGGTTTTAAGTAAACCAGAGAGGAACTACTGTGTAACATGGAAGGAACTCCTTACTATAGTAAAG